CGTCTGTAAACTGCTTCCATTTCCTCTTTCTCCTCGACTTCCTTTTGACGTCTCCCAGTAGTGAGAGCCGATTCACATTCCTACCTAATGCTTGAGACACTCCTAGGTCTGGATAAATTTATTTCTCTTCAACGGAGGTCATAAAATGATTTTCCCAGATGGAATCAGGGATACCTAGCACTTAGTTGAGTAGTTTGGTATACCTTTCCCTGTCAAGTTCAGTTAAGTTCTCATTGTGGCACTGCCCACAGGGTCTCGACCTGCTCAGTGATGCGGCTCTCACACACACGAGTAAAAGATCATTGGGAGCTGGGGGACCAGACCACTGTCGTAACAGTGAGAGTCGCCTGCATACTGGGGTGTGCACAAATCTAGACAGGTGGTCAACAGATACTTAACTGTATTTATCCAAGAAGTGCAGAAGAAATCTGCAACGTTCCTTCCAAACAATAGTGTGGCACGCACTCCTGGGTAGACAGGCGGGCACACGCGAGTACAGTCAACATGTTTCATCAACAGCACCGAGTCTGGGTATTGGTGGGTTGTTCCTCACAAAACGGCAAGGATTTGAGCTGATGGTTGCTCATAATCTGAAGTTTTCCAGAGAACAAACCCGTGTGCGGTCTGCTGTACCAGTGGCGCCGGCGGCGAGTCTCATGGCTGGTGATCGGCTCATCCTAGTAATGTAGGTCATTATGACCTTTCACCACAGCCAATAGTTCTTAGTTACGACTACCTCTCGCCTGACGCTTCAGTACTCTTAATTTTTATTATATCTTCGTTCAATTCTTAATGGATAGATCAAGCCATTATGTAATATTTTTATTAGCGTCTTGGCCTTAACGCAGACACCAAACATGTTTGATCCCTCCCAATTATTAAAGAAGATAGAAAATGCCCTCCTGGCCACACTAACTCCCGGCCGCACGCACTCCTGGCCGGCCGGACACACATTCAGTCAACAAGCATCAACAGCTGTGGTAATCCTCCTCCTCATATCACTGTAGCTTGCTGCAAACCCAGAATGATTCGTCTGAGAACATTTAATACAAGAACATCACGAACAACAGATGCTATGCATGAATTGTCCACCAGAGTAGCGAGGGCAGCTAAATCCCATATTCGTACATGTCCCTGACTGTATACGCCATGTCGGAAAATCCGACACCATTTAATATATCATACAGATAATAGCTGTGTTGTATAAACAAGTTACCCATAGAAAACGTAACTTGTAGTGGAATTACCGTCTAAAGAAAACGGGATATCATCACCACATACTATTATAGTTCACCAGCTATTCTGCTGGGAATTATTCTTAAATACATTAGTCTTTGGACTTTACCATCATAAAAACATCTTATATAAATTAACTTAATTATCAATATTAAAGTAGAGTAAATGTGACCCTTCTATCACTTTCTGAAATGTGGACAATGTAAGCCAGGCGTCAGAGTGAGGAAGGAGGGCAGCCATTGTTTATATTGAGACCAGAGGCTCACACGGGAGCAAATTCGGCTCCTGTTAATTTTACTTGGACGTAGTGTTATGGAAACCAAAGGTGTACCATTTTCAACACGCTGTCTACAAATTCAAGTTAAGTGTCTATCCGAAACCCGTTTATCATTCATTTATGGCCATTAATGTCAGGATATAGGGTGACCCGGTTAGAGCACGTGGAAGCCTCAAACTAAAGGTAATTAAGCCAGGTCTTTAATGTTCCATGTACAGTTTTCTCTGAAATACTTGTCATATATAGAATCTGGCTTCACAGCTAGCGCACTTTTGACAGGTCAAGACGAGGAAGAGTTTGTGCACCAGTTACTGGGTGATATGGAAGCTACCTCAAAGAGGATAATTTGGTGTCTACACCCTAGTTATACCTGGTGGACTAGCCTGCTGTACTATAAGATAAGGAACCTCTTCAATGTATGTAGTTAATTCTGTAGTTTGATTGGCTGCATATATATAAACTAATAAACCCCCCCTAATGTGTAGAGGATCGATTTGTGAGATTATGAGATTATTGCAGAAATACAGTCCACTTATCATTATACAAATTGCTATCGAAGTATATAAATTAACGTAAATATAAATTCATATAAATTAAATAAATATAAATCTCACAGGTCGGTTCCCACATTATTTGGACCTTCGGAACCGGAATATTCGGTCCTTTGAACCCACATTTGGTCATCTTAGTACCGGATGAACCAGTTAACCAGTGGATTCATTAAATATACTAGTGCAGTGTGATTTAAACAAAGCCAGTCAAAGACAGCGGCGAAGCCTCGTGGGAGCTCAGGAGCCCCCCTCAGCCCAGATGAGCTTCGTCAGCGGTTTCATGCACACCCACAGATTTAGTGGCGTGTTATTTCGTGAAATGACAGCGCTAATATAGAAGCCAGCCAAATTAGTGACTGTGTCTTCGCAAGATTGTTCACGGATTTCGTGGTGTTACATTTCGCGAGAGATTAACTACGAATTTTGTGGAGTTTATTTCGTGAGGTCACTAATAATATTTAATACTTCTAGATAATATTAGAAGTTTCATAGAGGCTAATTAAGAGGCTATTATCAATAATTGTGTATATTATTTCTCCAAATAGAGAATTATTTAATATAAATTGCACTAGTGATCACAGTATAATATTTACTAATTGCCAACCCACAACAGGGTAGGATACTGACTAGTTGAACTATTATTGTTCATCCTAGTCCCATTATTACTATAGTCAGTTGTACTATATTGAACAACCTAACACCATTAATGAATGGTCCAGACCCTATTTTGGGTGTAATTTTTATCAACTCGAATTGAGTTGTATATATAATAATTTACTTATGATCATTACACCTTTGAGTGATTAATTAGTGTCTCTTCCATCCTAGGGTGATATAGAGGAGCTAACCTAAAGGTACTTCCAGTGACACTGGTTTATCACTCAAATCATTAGTGTGTATGATTGTATATATATATAATGTGTATTAATTTTAAGTGCTAACCTCTTGTAGAGGTAGGATTATTGCCTAGTGAGTGCAGAATTTACCCTAGGCTATCATTAGAGTTTGTTCAGTATTATGAGCAGCCCAAGTACAAGTCCCACAAGGCTTCACCAACGAGCCAGTATGGATAATGCAGGGAGAATGAAAAGAACCCTTGCAGGTCTTAAAGGCCACTTAACAAGACAGATCAAGAAATGTGAAGATTTGTCACAACAATCTCAAGTTGATTATGCTGACCTGGAAAGCTATTATCAAGCAGCTGCAGGTAAATTTGAGCAAATCAAATGCCAAATGGCTGTCCTTGTGGGGACAGACTACTACCATCAATTCATTGGTAGCCCTACTAAATATCAGGGTATAACCATGTTAAACTCTGCAGGAGGTAAATTACTCTCAGGCCCAGTATCAAGCCTGAGGAGACCTATGCCTGCAGATAAACAATACCAGTAGAAATCTAAATTTGTCAGCTGATTATATTTCTCCAGTAGCATTATACTAAGGAGATTACAGCTGACTATACCAACAGAAGTTGATGTTAGTATCATCATTTAAAGCTGAAGATGAGTTCATGAGGCCTCAGTGGCAAATCAGTGAACAGTAGCCTAAAACAGCTACAAGTCACTGCGACCAATGTCACTGAACCCACTGCAGTCTCAGAACCATACTTTACTTTAATGATGAGCTATTCAATCTTCTGAATCAATTAACTAAATTAAACCCCAATAAATCTGATGACTGATTTGATACATTTATTATTTAATCAAGATGTATTCCATGGGCCTCAGTGTTTATATATCAGTGACCAGTTACCTGAAGAAACTTCAAGTTATATCTGATGTCACTGATCTCATTGCAGTCCCTGAATCATACTTGACTGTAGTACTTGATCACATTCAGTCTTCTGGGTTAAATAATATGTAATAAGGCTTGAATATTAGCCTTTCAAGAGTTGACAGGGAAATGAAATCGCATTAGACTTCTAACCCCTGCAACTCTAGTACGGGACATCCGTCCTGTACGAACAGACACACAAATGTGTGATTACTAACTACTAACATCAAATTAATGTAATAATTCGATGGAGGAGTATCGGTGTTCGTCTGTTCTAATTAGGACTTCGACCCGTGAGCAGCCCCTGGGGAATTATGTCGGAAAATCCGACACCATTTAATATATCATACAGATAATAGCTGTGTTGTATAAACAAGTTACCCATAGAAAACGTAACTTGTAGTGGAATTACCGTCTAAAGAAAACGGGATATCATCACCACATACTATTATAGTTCACCAGCTATTCTGCTGGGAATTATTCTTAAATACATTATTATGTAATATTTTTATTAGCGTCTTGGCCTTAACGCAGACACCAAACATGTTTGATACCTCCCAATTATTATAGAAGATAGAAAATGCCCTCCTGGCCACACGAACTCCCGGCCGCACGCACTCCTGGCCGGCCGGACACACACTCACATTGTCAACAAGCATCATCAACAGCTGTGGTAATCCTCCTCCTATCACTGTAGCTTGCTGCAAACCCAGAATGATTCGTCTGAAAACATTTAATACAAGAACATTACGAACAACAGATGCTATGCATGAATTGTCCACCAGAGTAGCGAGGGCAGCTAAATCCCATATTCGTACACATGTCCCTGACTGTATACGCCACCAGCAATCTCTAGCAGCTTCAAGCCTCGGTACTACAGGTACAAACGTTACCATCATCCTCCTCCTGGTGGTTCCTGAACCTCGGGCAGCTGTAAGTGCTTGACCGCAGTGGTCACCCATCTGTGGTCACAGCCACCATCTTGTGTTAATAAGGACACCTGGATGTGGATTTGATTTTCAAGAACGTACTATTTGTGTTGATTTGTCTTCCACTGACTTGTCCATGCATCATAGTCCACATCGATTTACCTGTCAGTGCCTGAACAGATGAAGGCCGAGTCTTTGAGACGAAGATTACCTGACCCATCCCTGGCGTGTCCTACACTGGGCCAGTTGTTCTCAGGAGAGTCGGCAAGTATAGCGGAAATATCTTAACAACGCACATTTTAACACTTTGTATTGAGTATTAAATGTTCTTTGTTATGCATAGTTTATACCAGTATTTTGACTGGAAGTTTGGTAAATCATTGACATTTGTGAAGAGAGAAGCCATATTAGTTAGGCACGTCAAAGTGTTAAGAAGAGGTTCCCCTCGAGAGGGTTGAGTACCCATCTAGTTGGACTGATAGGTACCTCTGATACACAGAGAGCAATCACACTAACGTGATGTATCAATGAGAAAATCCGTGAGAGACGTGATGAGAATTTGAACCTATGCACTGTGCATTCCCAGGCACACGCCTCAGACAACTAGGCGACAGCATTTTCAAACACGCCTGGGGAATGTTTCTGATAATGTCCAGCGCATAGGTTGCCTGTGCGCATGATTGTTTTTTAACTGACATTTTTCATTATGCGAGTTAAAACACGCATTATTATGTTAGTAATCATATAATCTAGTGTTCCTTTCTACATCAGTATAGTATTGTGTTTAAGCACACTGTATAATCGACATCCTTAATACGTGCTATCAGCGGAAAAAACTTCTGAATAACCTTTTTCTTATTAGAATATGCTGCATAATACATGATGCTTAATATACTGAATGAGAAACACCTTACACAGTTGGATCGCTAATGTACGATTCTCTACAATAGTTAAAAAAATGGGAAGCAGCAGCCAGAGGAGCTAGCACTATGGGACACTTGGATGGAGGCGCTGGGAGATGGTGGATAACGGCATGAACCGTTAGATGAATGGTGGATTAACACGACGATGAATCACTGGTAGGTGGATGGTGTTTTAACAGGGTGCACTAAGGTATACTTGTGTTGACCAGACCACACATTAGAAGGACGAAGGTCGTCCCTTCACCTCCTAGTGTGAGGTCTGGTCAACATACTTTAGCTACGTTATTGTGACTCATCGCCTGCATAAGGTATACTTGTGTTAGTATCACACTTAATTCGCTCCTGTACATACAATAGGACTATTTAGGTTAGGTAAGGATAGTTAGTGATGAATAAACATGTACACTAAATGTGTCGAGTGGGAGGAGGGTGGGGGTGGGGCCATTTATCAGCTGATGATTGGAAGGGGAGACAGCCACGACTGTCAGCTGATGAATGGAAGGGAAGACAGTCACGACTGTCAGCTGATGAATGGAAGGGAAGACAGTCACGACTGTCAGCTGATGAATGGAAGGGAAGACAGTCACGACTGTCAGCTGATGAATGGAAGGGGAGACAGTCACGACTGTCAGCTGATGAATGGGAGGGAAGACAGTCACGACTGTCAGCTGATGAATGGAAGGGGAGACAGTCACGACTGTCAGCTGATGAATGGGAGGGAAGACAGTCACGACTGTCAGCTGATGAATGGAAGGGAAGACAGTCACGACTGTCAGCTGATGAATGGGAGGGAAGACAGTCACGACTGTCAGCTGATGAATGGAAGGGAAGACAGTCACGACTGTCAGCTGATGAATGGAAGGGCAGACAGTCACGACTGTCAGCTGATGAATGGGAGGGAAGACAGTCACGACTGTCAGCTGATGAATGGAAGGGAAGACAGTCACGACTGTCAGCTGATGAATGGAAGGGCAGACAGTCACGACTGTCAGCTGATGAATGGAAGGGGAGACAGTCACGACTGTCAGCTGATGAATGGGAGGGAAGACAGTCACGACTGTCAGCTGATGAATGGGAGGGAAGACAGTCACGACTGTCAGCTGATGAATGGAAGGGAAGACAGTCACGACTGTCAGCTGATGAATGGAAGGGCAGACAGTCACGACTGTCAGCTGATGAATGGAAGGGGAGACAGTCACGACTGTCAGCTGATGAATGGAAGGGGAGACAGCCACGACTGTCAGCTGATGAATGGAAGGGAAGACAGTCACGACTGTCAGCTGATGAATGGGAGGGAAGACAGTCACGGCTGTCAGCTGATGAATGGAAGGGAAGACAGTCACGACTGGGTTTTGCACTTGTACGGGAAGGAAGTCATTGCTAACAGTTATTGTATTTCACTCCCCCTAAACGTTCGTTCATGCTTGCACTAACCTCGACATGCATATCTACTATCTGTATACCTTAATTGTTTCACAGAATCAATTTGAAGCGTTCCTTGAAGTAAACTTTGCATTCTTTTCCTTTGTAAATTCTTATTTCCTTCACTGAAACTGACCATTTGAAACTCTTCCCTAAACGTTTCTCCTCCCGAAACTTAAGCATAATGCTTGCTGTATCTTTCTTGCTAATCCTTAATTTCATTATACAAAATTATATACTGTACGAATCAATTTTAAACTTTTTTTAATTTTCATCTATTTTTCACTTTCCCATCATTCCCAAGAATGTTGCAATGAAAATTACAGTTGAACAACCATACTTCCACTACCTAATGTATGAAACATTTCGAAAAACTACACGAATCATTTGGGTTTCCCTTTTAACTTCGTTCACAACTTATGCCCTTAACTACTATTATATTTTGCAACTCAAAAAAATTCCGTTTCCTTAACTTGCAACTTTGTAAGGAACACCATTGCAACGTGACTCATCCACGTTTTCAATCCTTGCAATTGTTTTGCAAACCAGGACAAAAGGTATCTGCCACATCCTCAATTTCCCTACTATAATCCTCTGCTAGAACTATTTAATCAAAGTCTGAGGCATGGTATCTTGCCTGACCGCTGGATACCGACTAATACCAATACCCAAGCCAAATTCACAAACATTCTGACCCATACGATAAAATAAGTAGGAGCCGTGAGGAGTCGAACCTAAGCTCTAGGGACTCCCAAGCAAACACCTTAGACAACTGTACCACAACATGGTCAAAAGGATTCCAACCTGGGATGCTTGGGAGTACCCAGAGCAGATGATCGAATCCTACTCACAAGCTCCTTCTCATTATACATCACATTATGTGATTTCTTTGTGCCTTCAGACCCATGTCTGACATCCTGTATGTGTAAAGTTCGAGAGAATTATACTCGACAGGTTAATGTTTCAAATTAGCCCCCAACTTGCTCCTATCCTGTATGGTTTCCTTCCTTGAAGAAGCATTCAAATTTGATTTGCTGAATATTTTGTTAGACAAGACCCATGCTCTTAGGTGGCATTTATTGACCTTAAACTCCTTTTGATGCAGCAAAAAGGTGAGAGAAATCTTAGAATTAGCTTCTTTTGGAGTTCAGGGAAGATTTGACATAGCTCAAGGGGTACACGAGTATCAGAACTGCCTCAGTTCTTTCAAGGGAGTCAAAAGTAAACATTCTGCACCCTTTGATTTGGGTACACCGCAGAGTAAGGCGCTTTGCCCAACAGTTCAATATCCTAATGCACAAAAACTGGTATTTGCACACTTGCTGATAAAGCTGTCATCTGTTATGTCGATGACATTAGTTTGGATATTTGAAACAAAACAAGACTGCAATCCCTACTCGAGTCACTCGCTGATAAAAGCATTGAATTCGGTCTTTAACTTTATCCATTGCTCTTTCTCCCAGAAAACAACCAGTGCGCCTCTTGCTTTCAAAGTTAACAACCAAACCATACAAATATTTGGGCAGCACAAATACCTGAGTAGGTATCAGTGACATTGTAAACGACCTACAGCGTAGGTTAAAATTCAAATCACTGAAAATACTTACTAGTAAGAATATTGGTATACATGTTAAATATGTTAGATTATTCAACATGTTTGTTAGATCCCTACTTGATTATCATGCCTTGCACTTAGCTTCCCCGCCTCTGTTTTGAACAAACTAGAATAGAACGAAGCCATGAGGATAATTCTTGCTGCCCCAAGAAGCACAAGAATTAACATGAGGAAAGAACTGAAGCTTCCAACTATACTAGAGAGAATCATCCAAGTCAACACTACCTTTTCCCTTCAGGTCGTGGGAGACCCTACATCTCCAGCATTGCTTGGATATAAATTATTATGTGCCGTTAACACACTATTTAGTGGTGCAACATACCACCTCACTCCTTGTATGATAAATAGCCGAGTAAAAATGTCTACAATCTCATGAAACTGAACATTCCTTTTAATGCAATATTCCTGTCACTGATATATCTCTATATGTACACCACAATTTAAGTACCATATACAACCGCCACTAAGATGGGTAATTAGAATCCTGCTCTTTCCAAAGCCGTCACACTTTAAATAATTGCCTCATCAAAATTTAAGATCCAACTAGAATAGTCCAGACCGATATTGCAGTCCAGTCATCTACAGGACGGACTACAGTAGCATGCAGGTTTTACAGAAAATACTTGCACACAAGACTTATCATTGTCAGGTTAAACAACTGGCTGACCTCTACACAAACAACTGACTGCACTACAACTAGCTACCAGTACATTCAACGTCACAGGAGGAATTTTGAGCTTAAAAGTCTGCTCTTAAAAAGGTTTCATGTACGACCGAGTGTAAGAGCTTTATAATTGGACTTCTTATACAACCTGCTCACTGCTCAGTATAAAGGGTTTAGAACCTCTTGTATGGATACCTTCTCACAAATATAACCCACCATAATGACAAACATTGCAGCCAAATTTGCGTGTATGAATGATGAAGGTGAATTAAACCAAGGTACCAAAATCTCTTATCAAAACTATTGTTCCTATCACTCAGGTCTAAGAGAAATTACAAACTCCGAACGGCCTGAAAACACCGGTATAAAAACCTGTGATCACAAAACAGGTTTTGTGATCACAAAACCAGGTTTTTTTCACAAAACCTGTGAAAAACCTGTGTCCGAATCCTATGTATAAGGGCAGCACAAAACGTCCTCCAGATTGTGACACTACGGAAAATCTCAGTCAGCTTCAACCAGTGAACAATACGTTCTTAACATACCGAGAAGCTGCACTTTAACCACACAATATATCAAGGCAACACCTGTTAGTAGACTAAAAATCATCGACACATTGGCTTTAACAGAAAATAAAAATTAGGAATGACCTTCCACTTCTGACAATATTTCTGACTACAAAATGAAAGATTCCTCCCATAACCATATTGACTACTTTGACCGTAATTCTGGAGAAATTATGGCGAGTACACAGCCACAAGGCTGTGTACTCGCGCCAACATTACACCACACACTACAGAGGGAAGGATGGGGAGGAGTGGCGGCCCTGATGATAAGGACTGGTGTTTCAAGGAGATGGATATCCTGGGGTGCGAGGAGTTCAGAGACTACATAACAGGCACCATGACGATGGGAGGACCAAAAATAGCAGCCGTAATATATAACCCTCCATTAAACGACACAGACCCCAGCAATATTATGACAAACATAGCAGTACCTATTATAACTGAAAGGGTAGACTGTTGTTACGTACTCCTAGCAGAATACGTATATAAATTTAAAATAACTTGTTTTGTTCCATTATATCATTGCCTGTATATGTACACACATTGTGTTTTTGTAAATTATCGTGTGGTGTGGCAACGTCAGTGGAGACAGGAGCGTGGTTGCTTTGCACACGTCTAATACCTGTTAGATTCGGGAAGTTGGACCTGTTCAGTTTTGGGAGTTCCAGATGTCACTTTTATTAAGTTTATGTAATTGTTTATTTTCTGTAATTAAACAGGTGGCATTGTACTTATATATTTTGCAAGTAACTATTATATGTAATTTGCATTCTTATGTGTTTTGAGAACAAGTGGTTGTTCAATTAGTTTTAAATATTAAAAAGTCTTTAGTTTCCATCCCTCATCCTGGATGAGGCAGAGGAGGAGAGGATTATGGGTAGCGACAGAGCGAGAGTTCAGTAGCTTCACGGGACTCGAAGGAATAACATGTGGGAGATAAGTCTGTTTACTTCTTGTTGTGCCATATTTTATTATATTATATTAGGAGAAGGACA